TAATTTTTCTCCAATGACGGTTGTCATATTATAAATTGATACGCGGCATCCGTACGTAGAATACGGTAAGGTTATGGAAATTGTGAGAAAGCGGGAGCATCTACGGGGCTGCACCACCGCTGATTCGAACGCTGACTCGCCTTTATTTCCGGAAAAATAAAAGCTTTGCTACCAGACTTACGAAAACTATGAAATTATGCTATCTAGGGTAACCACGTGCCAAGTTGTTATTTGTGTTGTACAGAAATACATATATATGCATAGTAGGCCACGGACGATTGAAGTATTTTTGTTCTGTGAATTTTGAAAACGTTTGGTTGTGAACATGTGAGGACATGTTTGTGTGTTTTTATAGTGGCATTAGTCACAATTTTTATATTAGGAAATCAAAAATATCTTAGATATGACTCAGACTGCAATGTCTTACTTCATTTTTGCAGTTTATGGAATGTACACTTCAGTATGTTTTAACCAGTGAATCAAGACTGTCAAGGACAACTTCACTGATAAGATGAATTTTATTCCTATACTAATCTATCACGCATAGTCAGTCACAGACAGATACTGTCCAGACGTCTCTCTGATTAATAAGGCAGAGTTTTTAAGTTGTTCTGAAATGCAACTTTGCCACTGCCCAAGTATGCTTGATTTAAATCGTTGTTGTCATGATAACACTAAGTGTTACTTTTTTGCCTGCATTATTTATTAAAATTTCATGACACTTAACTATAATTGCTAGGTAATGAGTTTCACCTATCAGTCAGTTACATTCTTTAACAAATTTGTTGATTTGTCATTCTTCTTAATTATTCGCTTAAAATTACGCAGGCGTAGATATTGCACGTAACTACATTATCACCGTGCAGGGTGATACAGTGTTATAAAAACATATCGGCGGGCCGTGGATTGCAGATTGCGAATTCTTGGATTATAAGATTTTGTTTTTATTCTGAGTTGTATTTATTCTATTTAGAGTGAGGGTAGGCGTCTCTCAGGAATGAGATGTAACTTGTACAATACAAATATTGATAGTTTTATGATTCCATGTTTGAAACGGACCATTCACTAGTAAAATATAGAGCTCTGTGTAATATCTATAGATTTTATTGGCCGATGCAGTGTGATTCGCTTTGCAATAATGGATTTTAATCGGCGTTCCGAAATGAAATATGCCGTCCACCTTTCAGTGCAGACCTGTAAGTGATTTCTTTAAAATCCATATGAGTACTGTAGTTTTAGTGATGACGCGTGAGGAGAAATAAATTCTAGGATGGATCGACATGACTTCCACATTATGCAATCACTTCGTGTAGGCCTTCTTCGTGTTAAGAACGCATACAAATCACATGGTTCAAGACCATTACTCCTCAGTTCAACACATTTTCCTCCTTTTCGTTCTCTCAGAACAAAAATGAGCAATAATGCATCCGTACGCGGATGTTGCTGGTATGAAAATTAATTTTTATGCCACTGATGTGTCTGTACTGTGTTTTCCTTTGTGTCCCTCGTGATAAAAATAGTACCACTTGTTTTGATCCTGTGAAGGTCGGAAAGGCCTTGTTAGTTACACATTCTCCTCTCAGGAGGACACAGGATTAAAACATGAATGCTAGTTAAACACTATCTTAAAATACATAGTTCCCAGATTTCCTCGTCCAGTGTTAATTGTCTGCCGAAGCCATTACAAGGACTTACTCATTTTGCGTTCTCGATGCGACCGCAGCGCTGCTGGCGATAGTTTGGAAAGTACGTTTACGCTTCCAGATTATGCAATATTATATGGAATATCCATATCTGTCATCACAAATAAGGGACTGTCAGGGGCGTAAAGAAGTTGGTTCTGCTGTAGACAACGAGCCTGTTAGCACAGCGGTTAGCGCTTCAGAAACTTTTAATGTTTTCCGCAGTCCCTCCACGAGAGTCTCCGGATATTATATTAAAATCACAAGTTGCACGGTTTACTTCATTATGGTCTGTGCTGGTTCATTGTGGTTCCTACGTCATATGCAGTCACGAAGCCATGACCGTCTGGCAAGTCAGTCCCGATAGGATACTTTATAACATTTTACAATGCATCATTCCACGCCACATAATCCCAGCAGCTGGTGCAACGTCAAAATAAGAAAGCAATCAGTTCTAGACAGTTAGACAATTTAATAACCACATATAGCTATATGTCAAGTGTGTGTCGTAAGGGCAGAGCGTCCATGTTAACCATGTTGGCCACGTGGGCCCGGCTAATACTTTGAAAAACGAAAAATAAAAAAAGTATTTTCTTACTTTCGCTATTCGGTGGTACTCCATACACTGGAACACAACAGAACCCACTAAGATAAAATTCGTCGTTAGTCAGCTAGTTGGTTGAGGCGTACGCTCGCCGCGAGCGTGTAACAAAACAAACATTGCATGCCATTTTTATTTATTCGTGTTAAAAAGTCAATGTTGAGCAGAAATTATGATTTTGAAGTATGTTTTTAATTTGCCAACTTTTCTGCTGATAAAGCAAATAAGTTGCCTGTCTATTCCTAAAATAATATCCGAGATATCCGTGACGCTTGTGCTTAGATAATTGTAACCGTTGCCATGGTAGTGATGTTAAATTATTTCCATTACGGACCACGAAGCAGTACCCATCATGTGTGGCCGACAATTGCCATGACCTGCAGTCCCCTGCAACTATCAGGGTCATTATTGCCCCACGTAGAAATGACTCATATGAAATAACATGGCAAGGGATTGACGTTGCCTTTTCTGACGTTCTATCCCTAGGAGTATAGAAAATGACAAAAACATCGATCAGGAAAGCTCCTGGTTTTGAGTGGTCTTGAAAACCTCTCCATTCATCGCATTGTTGTATATTACTCAACACAAAACTCCAACGTTCTCCGCCGGTCGCTGTATTTAAAAACATTAGTCAGTAATATCTTCTTGGTCTTTGTACATGTGATTTAGCTTATGATAATCAGAAGTAACCACAAATAACGGAGTGCGTGAGATCAGCCCACTGCTAATGTAGTTTGTAAATACTCGTACGGCTTAGGATTGTAGAAATGGAAAAGAGTAATTAACGCCTTGTTGTTAAGATCACTGTCAAGTCTCTTAATAGACGGTAACCATTTTGTGCACCTGTCACGTAACAAAAGTGCTGTTTAATATATCTAATATTTAACCGTTCTAGCGGTTAGAACGCTGGCCTTGTAATCCTGGGGTCTCGGGTTCGATTCCCGGCGGTGCCCGAACTTATAACTTGTGTTGGGCAAGGCCGTGGTCTAGGCAACACGGAGTTTTCCTCCGTGGCATCCCAACAATTACTCCATTCACACACAGAAGAAGGCAATGGCAAACCACTTCTGGATCATCTGCCAAGAACGTATATGAACAGGTTCCAGTCCGAGAAAAGGATGGAAGGATCCTGTTCATATGGACCTGTCCTCAGACAGAACACTACAAAATAAATAAAAGGTGTTTTTGCGTAATGTGTGTACCCACAGTGACGCAAGCAGGCGCTACCAAGCATATGGTATTATTGTGAGGCTTAATTTATGCAGCAAACACCGCAGTCTGACTCACAACGCAACAGCGAGGGCAGTGGAAATAAACTTGCCGATAAGCAGCTGAAAATCTAAGCCCTCAGTGAGATGCGAGGTTTTCACAACAGCGAGTCCTGAGGTGTTTGTCTTCTGGTTTGTTGTGCTGTGTGGTCTGGTACAACTTTACCGTCGTTTCTGAAGTGCTTGCTGCCTCCATCATCAGGCGCAACACATTATCACATTAACTATCCAATGCCTTTTTTTTTTGTGACAACTCAAGGAATCACCAATATTATGAAACCGGGGGTTTCCAAACGCTGAGCCTCTGGTTAAAGCCAGTTTTTGAAATATGTGTCGAACGGTTTGTGTGGCACAAACTGTTTAGACTTGTACGAGATTCGAATCTCAGCAGGGGCCGTGACGTAGCTAGTGCACATTGGCAGTTTGATGAACATAGTAGGCTTACAAAGTAAAACCCATTGTGTTTAAACTGGATGTTATGAGGGGCTTTTTTCGAAATAATTCACTGAACGTTTTTTGTACTACAATTAAACTAGATAGCGTTTCTTGAAGAAAACAAAGAAAAGAGCACAAAACAAAAACTAGGTTATCTACAGATATCTCTAAAATGCATGAGATAAATATGTTTTTAAATTTTTAAAATATTTTGAATTTATATAGATCATAGTTCTTCTTGAGATACTAAGAAACGTATCGCCTGTTGTGTAGTTAACAGAATAAACAAATAAATAAATGGATGTTCATTTGGGCTTTCAAGTGCAGCAACAATTATCATTGTTCTATCAGATTTAAATGCCAAAACACCTTCAATCTCTGTCATAAGTGTCGAAGGGAATATTGGACTCTGTACGTCACATAGTTTGTCCTCGAGTTAAGAGTGCCCACACTTACTTATTTTCTCAGGCGCCCAGTCTCTTCTTACAGCCTAAAGAATTTCAGGACTCTTCACGGCGTTTCTGAAATATAGGCCCGTATTACAGAAACGTCGATCAAACAGCGACGCGAAGTGTAAGATACTACCACGGCAATTGCAATATGTCGTCTGAGATGCATTTAATATCCACGACAGATCAGGATTTTGTCTCGTCCCCGTCTTCAAGTGACCGGACGTCAGTAACTGACATGTTATTTTGCTGTTCTTACGCCTCGGTTGTTCTTTATCCCCGG